TTGATCCCTAATAGGGAGCGTGCAGGAGGCAGCCGATCAATGATTCTCTCTCATCACTGATGTTTCTATGTCTCGCCCACTCCCATCCTCTCTGAAATCAATACAAATATAGTTTTGTTTTTGTTTTGTTTTTTATATTTTATTGATTTTTTACAGAGAGGAAGGAAGAGGGATAGAGAGTTAGAAACATCGATCAGAGAGAAACATCGATCAGCTGCTTCTTGCACACCTCCTACTGGGGATGTGCCCGCAACCAAGGTACATGCCCTTAGCAGGAATCGAACCTGGGACCTTTCAGTCCGCAGGCCGACGCTCTATCCACTGAGCCAAGCCTGTTAGGGCCAAATACAGTTTTTTAAAAAGAAAAAAAATAGAAGTCATCTGGATGCAAGGAGGGTCCAAATCCCCACCCCGTAAGTCCCCCTAAAATGAGTGTCCAGGCAGAGACAGCTGCCTCTTAAGCAATACAGTGTGAGAAGGGTAAATAGGATTGAAACAAGATGAAGACAAATCCCAAAATGGAAGTGGTCATTTTAAGACTCTATAATAATAAAAGCGTAATATGCTAATTATACTGGACATCCTTCTGGACAATCTTCTGGACAAAGCTGGGGCTGCGATGGAAAACCGGGTCCTGGGTGCCTGCTGGCAGCCGGAGGGAAGCCTGGGTCCTGGGTGCCAGAGGGAAGGTGGTGCTGGCAGCCAGGGGAAGGAAGGCCTACTCTCGCACGAATTTCGTGCATTGGGCCTCTAGTAACAATAATAACATTTATTCTGTACAGCAGGGTGACAGATACTGTTCACATATTACTCTGAGCCCCATAAGAAGGCATCCTTATCCCCACTTTATAGTGAGACTCTCAGGCTCAGAAGGGTGATCTGGTTAAGGCTGTGTAATTAAGGAGAGCCAGGATTCAAAGGCAAATCTGCCGGATGCCAAGTCCCAGGCAGGTCCAGGGCCCATTAGACACTGTTGCCTCTCCAAGGTCAGACAGAGAAAGTGGCCCGCAAGGATGGAACTGAAGTTCTGATTACTACCACCTGGGACCTGTGTGCTTCAATTTATAAAGGTAATATGACATTACGGGAGCTCTGAAGAGTAGGAGGAAAAATATTCTTTGTCTCAAAACAGCTACCACTTTTATTATTCTGATGTCCTCTAGATTTTTTTTATATTCCACCTTTTCTCCTTTCCCCCGCAACTTCTCTGATTTCATTGAGAAAAGTAATAAGGCCAAAAACATTTCTGTTTTTCACCTGTTCACAAGTTCGTATAGCTCTGGCATTGTTTTCCCAAAGACAAAATACTGTGTTTTGAAGCCATTTTTCTTATCAAGTAGGTAGAGTGGATGGAACCATTCGAAGAGTGAGTGATACAGTCCGTAGCGTATGTTCCTTAAACAGAAAAACAGGTCAGCAACTGTCATTAAGCAAAGAAAAAATAGTTTATTTAAAAACAATCACTGGCAGCATTTTTATATCTCAGTGAAATGCACCCCTGAGGGCATTGGGGGGGGGGGGAATGTCCAAAACCATTAACTTAAAAATGATCTCTTCATTCACAACCAATTATAATGATTGGGTGTACTATGTTTTTGATAGTACACATAACTACTTTTTACACATACATATCTTGACATCAAATTTAAACCATCTTTTAACTTTTTAAAAAATATATTTTTTTATTGATTTTAGAGAGGGAGAGGGAGAGACAGAAACATCAATGATGAGAATCATTGATCGGCTGCCTCCGGCACTCCCCCCACTGGGGATCAAGCCCACAACCTGGGCATGTGCCCTTGACTAGAATCAAACCCAGGACCCTTCAGTCCGCAGGCCGACGCTCTATCCACTGAGCCAAATCAGCTAGAGCATTAAGTCAATTATCTCAATAACATATAGTCCATTTAAAAATGTTTTATCTGTGAAGCATAAGACTACGTATTGAAGAAATATTGGAAAGCCTTCCAACCCAGGTCCCTTTCCAGTGTCTGATGGACGGCAGGGACCAGGTCTCGCATCTTTGTGTACCCCTTCCTTGTCAACACAGACCTTTGCCGGCATTCAGGGAAGGTTTGGGTAAATGACAGATCAAGAGGGAACTGAAAAGGGCAGTTAAAGCAGCAAAAAGTGAAGGAGTCACTGGGTTGATTCTAACTAATGGGGGGATGGGGGTGGGGGTTGACCAAAGAACGTACATGCATATATGCATAATCCATGGACATAGGCAATAGTGTGGTGAAGGCCTGGGGGGTGGGGTGGAGGTGGGTCAATGGTTTCTTGTTTTATTTTTCTAAGATTGACTAATAGTTTTTATTGATTTCAGAGAGAGGAAGGGAGAGGGAGAGATAGAAACATCAATGAGAGAGAATTAGCGATTGGCTGCTTCCTGCATGCCTCTTATTGGGGATTGAGCCCCCAACCCAGGCATGTGCCCTGACTTGGAATGGAACTGTGACCGCCTGGCTCACAGATTGATGCTCAACCACTGAGCCACAGGGGCTGGGCTTGACTGATAGTTTTTAACATACCCAAAGGGAAATACAGTTAAAGTGACCTATTTTCAAACACAAGAAAGCTTGTTTTGAGTTAAGACTGGTGAGTGTTACAGAAACACTATGATGCAAGTAAGAAGTAAGGTACATTGTAATGGCACAGATAAGACAGAAAGAACTGAAGTTGTTTCATATGACTCAGGAACTAAACAGATTCAAAGAAGATAAAAATCAAGCATCCTAAAATCTGGATCTAATCAACACTCAGAGTTTTACAGCACGACTGTTATCTAAGCACATCATAGGGAAACTGAATCTTGTACAGGTGACAAGAGTCAGAACACTCTTTCTTAAGGGGCCGGTAGTAGTTTAGGCTGTGAAGGCCTTGGGGTCTCTTTCCTAACTCACAACACGTAAATGAATGGGCATAGCTATGTTCCAATCAAACTTCATTGACACAAACAGGCAGCTGGCCCACCCCTTAAATAGCATATCAAGTTTGCCAAATCACAACAGAGGTGAGAGTGGGCATGGCACAAATACCACTTTCCTCCCTGCAGGCAAATATACCCAGAACTGTAGGGTCCAAAACCAGAACACCCGAGTTCAAATCCCACCTCTGCCACTTCCTAGCTCATTGATCTTGGGAAGCTACTTTTTGTTTTAATATATCTTTATTGTGCAAAGTATCACACCTCCACCCCACCAGGCCTTCACCACACTATTGTCTATGTCCATGGATTATGCATATACGCATGTGCGTTTTTTGGTCAATCTCTCCCCACCCCCATCCCCCCATTAGTTAGAATCAACCCAGTGACTCCTTCACTTTTTGCTGCTTTAACTGCCCTTTTCAGTTCCCTCTTGATCTGTCACTTACCCAAACCTTCCCTGAATGCCGGCAAAGATCTGTGTTGACAACGAAGGGGGACACAAAGATGCGAGACCTGGTCCCTGCCGTCCATCAGACACTGGAAAGGGACCTGGGTTGGAAGGCTTTCCAGAAAGAATCCTTCTCAGAGGACAAATGGGCTGCTGTGGTCTTTGCTAGGTATCCTTCACCCAACCAGAGAGCCATGAATGTCTCTGATGGTGTCACCTTTGGTCACATAAAAACAGCCAAGCATCAAACACTGCCAATTCAGGTACTCGCTGAATGCAAACTTAGAAAACACGCGAGTACAGAAGGTCTGGTACTCTGGACGGCTGTTAGGTCAGAAGCAATGATGGACTAACTGCAGTGCACACACACCTCTTCCGGACGGCGGTTCCCAACTCACCAACCAAATCACGATGCGGCCCCACATCCTTAGCATTCCAGTTCCAAGACACCGAACTCGGCCAGTTTGTGAAGCCTTCGTGATGCTTTGTTGTCAGGACTACATACCTGTGGACATCGAAACCACATGAGCAAAGAAAGTGGGCAGTGGGCCACGAGCATGAACTTACCCAGCAGGGCTACGGCTTAGGAAATGGTAGGGAGAACTGGCTGTTTGAATGTGGAGCGGAGATACAGTGACCACCAACTGTAAATGTGTCTCAAGACCAAAAAACAAAGCAGGCAACTCCACAGAATATAACAGATTATTATGACAGGGTAAGTTAGTTACAGGGATGGAGGGTCCGAGTGGATAGACAACCCTGGTAGTTCTGTGCAGCTCATTCTCCACTGCTTTACAGTTATTACAGTGAATGTTTTTAGTACAGCTGAACTACTAATGACTGACAAGGCACAGGGCCTAAGAATGCCTTATGAACCAGGAACCCTCCCTCCTAGTGGTCTTATGATGGAAAATTGCTTAGAATTGACACCAAGACCTAGTTTGACATAGGTCTCTACTGCTGTACCAGTCTGGCCACTTACTGACAAGAATCTTTATGATTACATTGTATAGGCTTACAGAACAGTAGTCATCTATATATATAAGAGCCTAAGCGATAACGGGACAACTGACCGGTCGCTATGATGCACACTGACCACCAGGGGGCAGACGCTCAACACAGGAGCTGCCCCCTGGTGGTCAGTGCACTCCCACAGCCAACCTCCCCCCGCCAGCCAACCCCCCTTGGTCCCTCACCCAGCCGGCTGGCCCGATCGGCCCTGATCAGCCCTAATCAGGACTGGGCAAGACCGCCCTGATCGGCCGTGAGGGACCCCACCCATGCACGAATTTATGCACCGGGCCTCTAGTTAGCTATAAGACAGAGAATGCTGGCCAGGAACAGTTAGCTTGGTCAAAGTTAAAGCTTGAACAGAGAGAGTGGAGGGCTTACAAAGATGGAGTCGGTTTGTTCACATCATTAGCCACTTGCCTATAGGAAACATACTTGTGAGTTGCTGCAGCCACAGCTCCCCAGGGGTATATTGCTCCAGGAATGGAAGCAAACTTGAGGAAACCACAGTCCTTAGTCTCCTGACAAGCAGGGGCCCAGAGGGAAAAGATGTGCACCTTAGCTCTCATTCTTCAACCCTTCTAGGAATTAATGATTAGCATGATTAGCTTTTCTTTCTTTTTTTTTTAATCAAAACAATTTTTATTTGGATTTTGAATATTTTCATACATAAAGTAAAATATTCTGTAAATTTGTAAACTTTAAACAAAATAATGCCCAGTGAAAAATTAGAAAGTTATCAACCTTTCTCAATGTAATGCTAAGGACATTTAAACACTCCCTTACATTTTATGCCTATTCCTTGCCTGGAAATAAACTCTAAACTCTTTGACATGTCATTTGAGATCCTAAATAATCTTTCTATCCTGTTTTGCCAGTAATTTCTGTCGACACCCTTCACTTTCTAGAACATGTTATAAACTTTCAGTTTCATGTCCTAGTTCATGGTGTTCCCTTAATCTGTTATGGTTGTTTTCTTTTAAATATATTTTATTGGTTTTTTACAGAGAGGAAGGGAGAGGGATAAAGAGTTAAAAACATCGATGAGAGAGAAACATCGATCAGCTGCCTCCTGCACATCTCCTACTGGGGATGTGCCCGCAACCAACGTACATGCTCTTGACCGGAATCGAACCTGGGACCTTTCAGTCCGCAGGCTGATGCTCTGTCCACTGAGCCAAACCGGTTTCGCTGTTATGGTTGTTTTCATTTGTCAAAAGCCTGTACATTTTTCAGGCCCATGTGATCCATTTTTTCTGTAATATCTTCTCTATCCTGACTTCAAGGTAGTATTAATCCTTCCTTCTTCTGTACTTTTCTTACTACTATTAAAATTAAATTTAAGTGTTAGAAGTTTTTTTATCTCCTCCACAGCATTACACTCAAAAGGAAAAAGTCTTACTTATTTTGATTTCACCCAAGCTTCACACAATGACTGATAGAGGGTACCCAATAAATACTGAACTGAACAGACCTAGTCTTGATTTATGTAACAAACAGAGAAACAAACTTTAAGAATAATCCTTACCTATCTAAAATGTATAAAGCACATCCCACTGATTATTTTGTCAGTTATTGTTAGAATCAAATGAAAATCATTGGACTTTGGATAATAGTGAACATTTACCCTAAACATGAATTTTCCATTGTAATCCTTTTGGTGTTAAGTAAATCAAACAACTAAATTTCTCTCTTGCAGTCGTAGGTTTGGAAGGAGGCAGGAAATAGTTATCTAAAAATCCAGTCAAGTATCTCATTCTCTAATTGATATGAAGCCAATCTGTGTACCAAAATAAGGCCATCACGGATATGGGAGAAGAACTTCTCAGGATGGCAGGATGTACAGAGGTTGAGATCTTGCATCTGGTCCTGGATATTCTGTGGTAGAATTCCTCCTTGAATCCTGGTGGCTTTACGAATGTCAACATAGGGATTTGGTGAGTCAAATAGCCGCACACATTCAGGATCAATATTATGAAATGCATTTGCAGATTCCCTTGGAAGATAAAACAGCAAGGTCCTACTGAAGGTCCCAGTATGACTATAATATCTTCCAAACTGCAACTGTATTCTGCTATCATAGCATTCACGGTAGCCATAGCAACACCTAGCAAAGTACCTTTCCAACCAGCGTGAGCAACCCCACATGCTTTTTTGACAGGATCTGCAAAAATTATTGGTATACAGTCAACACCAAGAGCTGCTATGGTGACTCCTCTCTGATTTGTGGTGATTCCATCATAAGATTCTGGCTCCTTCCTTCTCATAACCCAGACGTCATTGGCATGATCTGTCTTTATTCTGTAAAATTTCTTCACATTCAATCCTGCAGCACTCCCCAACGTACGAAGATTTTCTTGAACAACTACCTGGGGATCTCTTCGTTTGGAGCTACTGAAGGGATTGAATGAGCTGAGAGTTGGTATGTAAGATACCCCACCTTTTCTTGTAGTAAATCCATGTATGAAAATATCTGAGATCAAAGGAGATGTGAGAATAGTTAATTCTCCTTTCGGTGCCGGCAGACTTCTCAAATATGTTTCTATTTCATTATGTACAACTTCTAGTTCTTGAGTTGTGATCATGCTTATCTCAGTGGACTGTTTCAAAAGACCTCCCTTCCACGTTACCTGTAAACCTTCAAACTCAAAATTGTAAACATCAGTGAAGAGTTGATCAATAAAAACCTTCATTAATGTCTTCCGGTTGATGGGTACCATTACCTTAATGCGGCTCAGGTTTTTTTCATCAATTTTTTGTTTAACGGTATACAAAGAGGCAGCCATACTGGGGTTGCTAACAATCTCAAATTCTCTCAAGAGAGCTCATACTCCATTGGTTGTTTCTAATTCATAAGTATCAAGGTCACCGTTCCTTTCACAGCTGATGTTACTGCAACACATTATGCAGAGGAATTTGGCCTTGGCAGCATGGTGGGATCTAACAGCATCCAATGTCTTCAGTAACATCTGATAGTTTTCCTGAGAGTTCAATGTCAAGCCAAATAGATCAATCAACACTGCTTCTGACATCCTGCAGTAGCTGTACAAAGTTCTTCAAAGAAGACTTTGTGGCCTCCCCCCCAAATCACCATGACCCCCGGGGCCCAGGCCTCCTCTCACCGCCGCGCCCAGCGTCCACTCCCTACTGGACAGCACTCCCTCCCGCTTGGTGCATCACGCCAGCTTTGAAGACATTAGGAGAAGTCATTATTAGCTTTTCTTAACCTTTGCTTTAAAGAAGAAAGAAATCTCTACTAGAAATAACAGATGACAGAAAAGCAAGCTATTTGTTTTAACAGGCCCACATGAATTGCCTCTCATTTATAGAGGTGACAAAAGTCCAAAAGAGCAGGGGAGAAAAGACAAGTGTTGAAATAACCACCAAACCATTCAACATTTCATTTGCTTTCATGGCGGAAAAAACGAGATAATTTAACCACTGGCTGGTGTGGGGAGCTCCAAGATTTAAAGGGCCAGATAGTATTTCAGGCTGGGAGGGCAATAACCCTTTTAAAATGTAAAAATCATTCTCATCTCATGGTACTTACAAAAACAGGCAGAGGACCAATCCCTCTGTCCAAGGTAAGCAGACCTTGGAGTTGTGAGATTTGGAGTCTAGACTGTGGTCGGCAAACTGCGGCTCACGAGCCACATGCGGCTCTTTGGCCCCTTGAGTGTGGCTCTTCCTAAGCCTTAGGAGTACCCTAATTAAGTTAATAACAATGTACCTACCTATATAGTTTAAGTTTAAAATTTCTGGCTCTCAAAAGAAATTTCAATCGTTGTACTGTTGATATTTGGCTCTGTTGACTAATGAGTTTGCCGACCACTGGTCTAGGACATCAGTTCCCTTCCTCTATCTGGGCTAGTCACCTGGTCCATGAAATAAGGGGTCTGGACAAAGGATGTTTCCCAGATTTAAATTTTTTTTTCATTTTTAACTTATGGATCTCTATGGCTCCTAGAAGACAGAGAACACCTCCTCTGTTTATTCCAGCCTTATATTCCCATACATTTAATGGCAAACACTAAACGTCAGCTGTAATTTATTAGTATAAGGTACTATTTTTTATTGATTTGAAAGAGAGAGAGAAACATGGATGTTGTTCCACCCATTCATGCATTCATTGGTTGGTTCTTGAATGTCCCCTGATGCGGAATCCAACCCCCCACCTTGGCATACCAAGACGACACTCTTACCAAATGAGCCACCTGGCCAGGTCATCTTAAAGTCTCAGAGAAACTAAAACCTGGAAGATGACTGAAGAGACAACGGTAGAGGACTGCTCTAAGCCACGAGCCAGGAAACCTCCCTGTCTCCATTCTTAGTTTCCTCCAACCCCCGCCACTCCCAGCAGTCACTACCCTACTAATCCTCAGGGTAACCACTCCCTGACTGGACACCTGGCCACGTACTGCCCTAGAGGATTACGTACTGCCCTAGAGGATTACGGCTAGGACTGGCCCCAGCCTTCCACAGCGCCCTGGGTCCTTGCCTCTCTCTTCCCCATTCCAGCACGCTACACTTTCGGTTCTCCACGCCATCCACACGCAAGCTCCAACAGCTCTCACGACAATGCACGCGCTTCTTGAGCACTTTAATGTGCAAAGCACTGAGGAGGGCAGATGAATGAGAATCTGTACTGTTGCCCAAACACAGTGCACACCAGAACGCCCCTCCCTCCCCCTCCCGGAGATAGTAAAGCTGAAAGGAACCAACACAATCCCTTTCCATAGGTATGGACTTAGGAGGCTGCAGGGAGGTGAAATGCCTTGGTCAAGTTCACTGTTGAACTAGGATCAGACTCCATGCCACGGGCTTACAATCCTGGGGTCCCGATTTTCTTGTCAACCTGGAATGGACGATGAGATATCACGCAGCTCCATCCATTGAGGGCTTTCCCACCCACCACCTCCTTGAAACTTGTATTTCCTCCTAATTCCCAACCGGACGCACCTTCCCCTTATGATCAGGCATGTCACGTTCAATTCTGCATCCTTCCGGGGACAAAGCTCATGACCCGGGGTATCTTAAGTCAGGCAGATGGCTGTGTGACCCTGGGCGAGTCGCCTAACCTCCCTCCCCGCTCGGTTCCCACCAGCCTAACCCCCGCCCACTGCCCCGACCCCGGAGGAGGTGCGCCGCCCGCACCCGCCGCCACACTCACTTGGCCCCGGCGGCCTGGAAGAGGTCGGCCCAGCCCTCCGGGTCGAAGAAGCGCGCCGTGAACAGCGGCCCGAAGTCGGCGTAGCTGAAGCCGGGCGGGTAGTTGTCGCTCATGAAGCGCTGGTACTGCGGCGACCCCTCGCCCTTCCAGTGCCACCAGAACCACTCGCTGCCCCAGGCCGGCACCGAGAACACGCCCCAGTGCACGAACACCCCGAACTTGGCCTGGTCGAACCAGTCCGGCAGGGGCCGGGAGTCCAGACTCGGCCAGTCCGGGGTGTAGCGGCGCTGAGCCCCGAGCGCCCCCTCGGCCGCTCCGAGAACCAGCAGCAGCCGCGGCAGCAGCGGCAGCCGGGCTCCCACCGCCCACGACTTCATCTCGGACGGCCACACTCGGACTCTCCGCCTCCGCCTCCACCATCCCCTCTCACCGCGCAGCTGCGGCGCGAGGCCCCGCCCACTCTAATGATTGGCTCGGTAGGAAAAAGGGGCGGGTCAGCCCTGGCGGCTTGACTACCGAGTCTCTTCCCCTCTTAGTCCGCCAGCCCTGTTGCGCCCTCTAGCGCTTACAGGGAGAAAGACGCAAGGAGGCGTTGACAGCGCTCGGCGGGAGGTCTAATGAACACTTCCGAAGACTTCATAGCGGGGTTCAGTCGTGGGAGTGATTCAACCGTGGGGTGGTAGAAGGCGGGGTGTGTACAGAGAACTTGGTGTAGTGCATTTGGCCGTCGGGAGTCAGAAGGGACTTTCTGAGCTGTAGTACAGAAGAGCAAGCCTGGAGGCAGGAATACCAGATGCAAGGTCATTGTTACAGTCCTGGTAGCAATAACGAAGTAAAATAATGCTGGTAGAAGCATTGTGAGGAGGGAGAACAGTGGGTGCTGAAAGGGGAAGAGCAGGGGTGAGCATTTGGCCTATCTAATACTTGCTTTGGGAATTCCGAAGCCATTCAAAGAGCTTAACATCTAATTGGAAAAATGAGACCCATGGACATACAAGCAGTACAAAGGAACGTTTTTAGAGTAGTAGGGTAAGAACATTAAGAGCCCCGAGTCCTACAGCATAGGGAATATAGTAATAAATATTGTAATAACTATGTATGGTCCCAGGTGGGTACTAGAAGTATCGGGTGGAATCACTTCATACATGATATAACTGTCTAACCACTATACTATACTCCTGAAACTAATATAAAATTATATTGAATGCCAACTGTAATTTAAAAATAAAATAAAATAAAAAGAGTCCCAGGCCCTAGGAGTACCTGTGTGAATGTTGTCTGGCAGGGAGGTCACCAAGTCCTCTACAACCTGCATATGCTGTGCATGCTGAGACAGGAAGTGAGGCCATCCATCAGGTGTGGAAAGTACAATGACCCTAAGTGGCACCGCCAGTCCCTATGTATCAGTGAGAGAACTGCAGCAGGGAATTTGGGATCCTCTACACAATCGCCTTTCCTACTCTCTCCATTTGAGGGAGGAGAAAACTGAGACCCAGGGAGTGGATAGAAGTTGATCAAGATGATGCAGCTAGTTGAGCTCAGAGGTGGGACCAGAACCCAGGTCTCCAGATGTGGAATTTGTGCCTCTCCACATACTGCTTCTCTCTTGCACCCCGGAAGGGGACAGCGCCTGTGTTGACAGAACCAAGCACTTCCTCATCCTAGGAGTTATAAGGAAATACAAAGGCAATTACTGAATAAACAGTTATTCTAATCTGCAAGGTAAGGCTAAAATATTGTCCAAAACAGTAAGCACAGACTCCTTAAAAAAACAAAACCAAGCCCATCTTCACACACTTTCTAATGATCAGAGTAATGGTCTTTGATGTTTTAGAACTCATCTTGGGGAAGATGAAATGGGACATTGTGACCTTCATTTCTCCTTAACCTTGTGAAAATTAATAAGCAGAAACCTCTTTTAAAATTGAGTCAGGAGGCTAGAAGAGAGAACTCTTGCTCACATGCCACTCCATGCATACTAACCCCAATAGGACAGACATACCTTGCATCTACAATAGGAAGTGATAAATAACTACCTGAGCACAAGAAAGAAAAGATTCCTCAGCTCAGCCAATGGGAGCTTGCCATAACTCAGCCAATGAAAAATCTCCATACTTCAAACTTTTAGTTTCCTCCAATGGGCTCTTCATTTACAACAGCCCCTCGGAAGTCCACCAAAGAGCAGTCCTCTCCTTTGTTTCTCTGGATTTGAGCATGGCTTACCATTAGACTGCAGGTCCTGAGTTGCAATTCTTTATTGTTCCTGAATAAACCCATTTTGCTGGAGAAATATCGGACTGTCCATTTGTTAAAGGTCAACATCCTCATAGCCAAAATGAGAATTTGCAGGAGCAGGTGAGAGACACTGTGATAGACTGGACAATATTAGAAGTTGGGAAGCTGGGTTTCTTGCACGAGACACCACCTAATGGGGTCTCCTTGGGCAAGTCTCGTCCACAGTCTGGGCCCATTTCCTCCTCTGAACAATGGGGCAGTTCTCAGTGGTATCCAGGTGCCTTATCCCCTTGCTCTCCTCCTTCATAAACTCCAGATCTTTACTTAAAGCTGAAATAGGAGATTGTGAAAGGAGAGAGGTAGAAAGTCTGGAAGTGCATTTAATTCCACGACTTTTAAGCTCTATATTTATTACAGAAATATTTACTGAGTATCAATTTATGTCAGGCACTTGGGCATTGTCTTTGCTAACATGAGAAAAGAAAGGCATGCCCCAACTTTAAGGAATCACAAATTTACCTTTAAAAAATTATGCCATTTCAACTGGGTTCAATAGTGTCCCCCAGAACTTCATGTCTACCCAGAACCTGTGAGTGTTGCCTTACTTGGAAATAGAGTCTTTGTAGTTGTAACTTGTTAAATTTAGATGAAATCGTACTGGATTAAGAGTGTGCCTTAATCCAATGATGGGTGTCCTTAAAAGAAGACACCAAGAGACAGAGGGGTTGGGGAGGCTACATGAATACACAGGCAGGGATGGGAGTTATGTTGCCACAAACCAAGGAGCACCAGAAGCTGCCAGAAGTCGGACGAGGCAAGAAAGGATCTTCTGCTTGAACCTCTGAAGGGAGCATGGCCCTGCCAACACCTTGATTTTGGACTTCCAGCCTCCAGAACTGTGGAAGAATACTTTTCTGTTGTTTTAAGGCACTTAATCTATGGAAAAATGTTACCGGAAACTAACACAGGGCATAAAAAGAAGCACACTGAGAAATAATGAGATTTAAGGTTGTGGCAATCTGTACTTCTAATGAAGCTGAGTTTGACTGAACTAGGTCAAGAGGGCAGGCTTTGGAGTCAAAGAGAACGGGATTGGACACCCCAGCTCTGGTTACGTTTAGCGGTGTGGCCTCAGGCGAGTGATTTTGCCTCTTAGAAGTTTCCTCATGTGTAAAGTGAGGATACCAAATCCTCATCAGGTTACTGTGAAGCTAAATGAAATACCTCATTTAAAAGTACTTATCCTCCCGCCCCCCAAATAAAAGAGAAAAGTACTTAGCCCAGCCCTGGCCTGTGTTTCACAGTGGTTAGAGCACCAGCCTGTGCACCAAAGGGTTGAGGGTTCGATTCCCAGTCAAGGGCACGTACCTCGGTTGCAGGTTTGATGCCTGGCCCCAGTTGGGGCACGTGCAGGAGGCAACCTATTGATGTGTCTCTCTCACATTGATGTTTCTCTTTCTCTCCCTCCCTCCCTCCTTTCCACTCTCCCTAAAAAATCAAAGGAAAAAAATATCCTCAGGTAAGGATTAACTAACTAACTAATAAATAAATAAATTTTTTTAAAAGTACTTAGCCCAGTGCCTGGCCCATAGTAAAGACTCGCTACAAGTCAGCCGGCATTTATGACCAGAGCACCTGGTACAGTGATGGCGAACCTATGACACGCGTGTCAGAGGTAACACGCGAACTCATTTTTTTGGTTGATTTTTCTTTGTTAAATGGCATTTAAATATATAAAATAAATATCAAAAATATGTCTGTTTTACTATGGTTGCAAATATCAAAAAATTTCTATATGTGACAAGGCACCAGAGTTAAGTTAGGGTTTTTCAAAATGCTGACACGCCGAGCTCAAAAGATTCGCCATCGCTGACCTAGTAGGTCTCCAATACCTAGAGTTGCCTCAATTAATCCTTATCACATGACCCTAACAATCCTTGATTTCTTTCATTGTACTGCCCATGTCGGTCTTATTTATTTATTTATTTATTTACTCTCTCCGCACCAGAATGGAGAATGTAAGCCCCATTAGACAGGGGCAGAGTCTCATTTATGGGTTGACATTCAGGCCTTAGCACAGACCCTGGCCTGTATTATGAGATGGGTGAATGAGTGAATGAATAGTGGACACCTTGTCTTATAAATTATTCAACGAAGACATGTTTAATCACCTTCGTCCATTTATCCTGTCTCTGATCCTAAAGACCTGCATTAGAATGCCTTGCAATCCTCCTGCCACCAGCATTTCTCTTGCCTTCTACTTTAAGCCCCTCTGCTAGGAACTCAGATGGCCTGAGATGTAAAATATGGTGTCCCGGGCTCTTCAAAAGCTTGGGCTGTATTGTCGCTGCAGATAATGGACTGTGGGATGTCCACCCTGTGCCTAACACGTAGTAAAGAAATTTCCCCTTCCTACTACTGGCTGTTTATTATTTGTCATAGGGGTATGGAGGAGATAAAAAGGCCTGAACTAAGCATGAGTGAGAACAATTTGAGGATTTATAAAATCTTTGTGACTAACTTCCTTTTTCTTGGAGTTGGGTTAGACTGGGACACTGCCTGCTTCCAGTGGCGCCACCAAGTAGGACTTCACAGGGTCAATAAAATTCTCTGAAGAGCCTGTGTCTCAAGTGACCCCAGCCTCCGTATTCCCCAGAGACCTAAGAAGTCACAGCCGCTGTGGGTGGGGATTATCAGGAGTCAAAGAGGACCATTGC